TTCCGAAGTGTCGCTATCAGTTTTTTCTTTTCCTCCACTTCCTCTTTTAGTCGGGCCATCTCTCCCTCAGACAGAGACTCGTCTTCTGAATTGTCGTCTGATGATGAATTGCTGCAGAACAAAGCCGAGACCCGAGAGTCAGCAGTCAGTCCTTTAAGTCCAGTTTAACAGTATATTCCACAAGGATATTGTTGTTTTGGTCAAGTCAAGTCAAAAGTTCTAGTGAGCAGGATGGCCATGAAAAGCACTTCCAGATCATCAGTTGGAAGGCAAAAGAAAAAAAGAAAAGAATGAAATGTCCAATTGAAACCAAAAAATGTATAGCGAATAACAACAATGCTACTTTACATTGGTTGCTGAAAAAAATAAAAATGTCTGGCTCTATTATACTTTTTTTTTTTTCATTGGAGGATTCAATCATCCAGTGAATCTGTCACACACACACATCTATATATATAGGAGTGAATTCAGGTTGATTGGGACCGTTTTTCCAAGTCATTTCAATGGCAAATGTGTCCCAATCACCCTGGATTGACCCTATAGGTTTAGTGAATGATTGAATCTTTAAATAAATAAATAAATAATATATATTTTTTTATTTATAGCAATACAATCCATACAATACAATATATTATGATAACAACACTTTTGCAGTTGTTCAGAGATTTTAGTTCCTTGGCTGCATTTTACCAAAAATGTTGTAATATGTATAGTTGAAAACATTCAAAAGTTATTTTATGGCAATAGATGTGTATGGCTGTGGAGGTAATGAGGAGTGAACGGCACCATGTGTGTGTGTGTGTGTGTGTGTGTGTGTGTGTGGCGTGGAGAGGGAGGCTAGAGAATACTGCACCTGCTGTTTTTGCCTTTGTTCTTTTTCTTATCCTTATCTTCCTGTTTATCCTTCCCTCCTTTTCCTGCTGCTTTGCCATTCCCCTTCTTCTCCTTGATATTCTCCACCTCTTTGTCCTTCTTCGTTGTGCCTTTTTTCCTTCCTTTTCTTTTATCTCCTTTCTCCTCTTCGCTCTCCTCTTCTGAGTCATCTTTCTTGGCAGCCCTCTTCTTCGCACCTCCTGCTTTCTTTCTTCTTCCTTTCTTCTCTTCCTCGCTCTCGTCTTCACTTACTTCCTTCTTCTTTCGGCCTTTTCTCTTCCGTGGAGTCTCCTCCTCCTCTTCGTCGCTCTCCTCCACGCTATCAGCGAGCTTGGCTTTCCTTCCTCGAGCAGCAGGCTTCGGTTTATTCCTGCCTTTTGCTCTTCTTTTTGAATCCACTGAAAAGATAGAGAAAATGTGTGTGTGTGTATATATATATATATATACATTCATAATATATTTTAATTAAATAAATGTTTTTGACAAAATACATTTTGTAAGATCACTGCATGACATGCACATTCAAAATAGTAAAATATTTGGAAAATAATACAATAATATTATCGAATATTATCGAAAGTAATATTATAATAAATAATAATGATAAACAATAATTCATTAAAAAAATAAATGAACAAAAAAAATTCAACCATCTTCAAAACTTACCGTCACTTCCACTATCATATTCTGCATCGATTTCCATCCCAACTGTAACACACACACACATACACTATATTAATATCATGAGAATTTCTTTCATTCTGAAAATACTGTCACAATAACTCAATAACACAACTATTTAACATCCTGTCAGATGAGTGCACTTAATGGCATACATGATATATTGTGTTAATCATTAAAACAATTAACATAAATTAGGTAAACCTGCTAAATAAGAGTCATCATTTAAACATATAACAGCAGGAAACACAACAGCACAACACATGCCAGTTGTAAAATCATCAACTGCACTATATCAGAACAGTAAATAAAAGTTGCAAATAGTTACCCAACCTATTCATATGGATGCGTTTGAAACGAACAGTCTACACTGAATCAAATTGAATCAACATGCATTAGAATGATCCTCTTCTGATAATCAAATCTACTTACCATCATCCACGGTTATCGCAATATCATTTTTTCTGCGAGGCATCTTGCCGGTTTGAGTTTGAGTCCTGCTATTCAGTCTTGCGAGGCATCTAGAGCTGAAGACACACCTGACTGTCAGGTGGGTCTCTGTTAACAGGCTCTCCACTCCTAAAAAAGGAATCAAATGTCTCCTTGACTACAGAAAATGGTAGTCAAGATCTAAAGCCGTGAGAGCCAGCAAACAAAACGCCAGTGTACAGGGCAGATTCAAGATTCAAATAATCCGAGAATAATCAAGGTGTCTCTCATGATACCTAAACTCAAGCATATACCCGTATAAGTATACCCGATAAACACCTGAAAATATTTTTTCTAGAATTAAAATAATAAAATGATAACAGATTGTAAATAAAAAAAGTTCTGATTAAATTCTTCTTCTTTATGACAAATGTATCATTCTTCATGTTAATTAGAAAAAAGTTCAATAACTCATTTTTGGACCTTAGTAAAAAGAGGTAACTTTTTTCTTTTTTTGTCATTTTATATTCTCACACCACACTTTTTTTCCTGGTTCCATTTCAGTACAAGAGATTCATATACTGAACTATAGTTTAACCATGTTTAACTTTGGTTTAAATTTGTGTCTTTGTTCTTAATGTGTATAAATGATGAGGCATTGTGTCAACAGGAAGTTCTAACCATTAATTGTTTTGAGTTAATTATATACAAGAGGTCTACTACTATAACATCCGGTAACAGAGCTACATTCACACAGATCAGATATCCAGCATATAAAAGCGGTTTCTCTGTAGTGACCGCAAGGAAGGTTCACAATAAATGCAAAAACACTGTGCAAATTCTAAACTCATTATATTTTGTGGTTTTTGAGTTGTACTCACTTCCAAAAGTTGAGATAACTTTATTTAGTTTAATCAATTCCTATACATTGGACAAATCAATTGGATAAACACAGTATTTACAAGGTTTTTACAGTAAAGTTTAATTTATGATTCAATTAATAATTTAATGAATGAATTATGCAAATTATCCTAATGATATTGCTATTCTTGATTTCTTACTAAAATAATTTAAAATGAGCTGTATTTTCAATTAACAATGACCTAAATGAACAAATAAACAAAATCTCAAATGACTCGTGTTAATACTTAATGACGACTACCCATGAATTATAAATGACCATTTGCATTGTTAATGAAACTTATGTGCCAATTTTCTTATAAATAATCGTCAAGATTTGATACAGGGATATCGTAAGGTTCTAAGGATTGTAAGAACTCTTCGATCCATCTTCAAAACAGGTGATCTTTATATATTCTTTAAGGATGTTTTTTTTACCATCCTCTAGTAGGTTTGTAACAAACTCCCCTCACTTAAATGGTACACAGCGTAACCCCAAACAGATCAGCATGGGCCGTGGAATGACAAGTGAGTCGCATGCATCTTTGCTGCCAAATCTGTGGCTGTTGGAAAATAATCCAGGACATTAGACACCCCTAGAGCTGAGAGCAGATTTGAGAATACAGTACTGCGCATGGAAATGTTGTGGGTCACCTGACACGCTGATCAAGATAAAGCTGCATGGATTTGAGAATAGGAAAACAATGAAATGGAGACAAAAGGCATAATGGTGGGCAAAGCCAAGCCATCAATTGGTTCAAAAATGATTTAGCTTCTAGATCTATGGGGGCTAAGGGCCGGTGTCTTGACGAAAAATACTACCTATAAGATTGTGCTACCAACACTGTATTTGCATTGTTTTAAGGCTAGGTTTAAGGTTTGGGGTAGGTATGGATGTTAAAAAAAGTCTCAAACCATGTCACACCACGTAAATATAATGCTGATAGTCTGATAGGTAGCAACTTTCGCTGAGCGAGGAGCAGAAATCATCAGAACACCGGTTCACAAAGAATACGTTTTGTGGTCTTTTTGAACGCAAACGTTTTGAATGCGACCAGTGGTCAGGGTTCCTCAAATCCAGCATGGAGGGCCACTGTCCTGTAGAGTTTAGCTCAAACCATGATCAAACTCCCTTACCTGCAATTTTCTAGTAACTCTGTTGACTAGCTTTTTCAAGTGTATTTGATTAGTTTTGGAACTAAACTCTGCAGGGAAGTGGCCCTCCAGGACCAGATTTGAGGAACCCCTGGCATTTTTATAATGCCCTGCCATGCATGATGTTGCAAAAGACGCAAACACAACGGTTAAACGCGTTGTCCGTCTATCACTTTTACATTGAAAATCAATGGAAAAGTAGCACAGTCGAACGGAAAAACACGTTTTGTGTGAACGGCCCATAAGGATGCATTTTGGGATTCTTTACGGTGCTGACAGTTAAGGCTGATTTATACTTCTGCGTCGGACCTATGCCGGAGCCTCTACGCCGTAGGCTACGCGTTGGTTTTCATTTATACTTCTGCGTCGTTGTCCGCAGTGACGTGCAATTACACATGCAGAGGGAGCATGTGGAACTTAAGGGAGGAATTCTAGCAGACAAATCACAGCGCTTGCGGTCCGCGTAGAATTGACGCATTGTTAAATTTTTGGAGAGGAGCACGTCAGGGTACGTGACGTCGTAGGCTACACATGCTACACACACAGCCTACGACGTAGACGTAGTTCGACGCAGAAGTATAAACTGAGTTTTACACTGGCCCCCAACAGAGCAATTTGTCACACTTAAAAATGTATGACATCTGCAAACAAATGATGCTAAGCCTTTTTTTTTACTTTTAACAAGCTGTTAAAAAAGTGTCTTTTGTCTTGATTTTTAAACTTTTATATCTGTGGTTTTATGTGATTCTATCAAATTTGAATTATTTTTTTTTTTATTTTTTTTTTTTAAATGTGTTCTTGCTATCATAAATAACACTTGGTTTAAAATGTTGTTATATGATGCAATGACACTCATACATTTTTAAGTGTAGCGTAGATGTCCAATCACTTTCCACTGTAAATAAGACACACGTGTTCCACCTCTGTGTAGCTCTTAGAATAACATATTAGTCAAACAGATGTTTACTTTATCTGCTGCATTTTAATAATTAGTTGTAATTGGCATGTAAACCAACAATCAAGCATTTTTTCTAAAACTAAAAATATATATAAAACATGAGTCAAAACATGAAACAAATCAAGAGATGAAGAATTTGACCCCAGTTTGGCCAGCGTGTAACAAGAGCAGTCATTTCTCTTTCACAGAGACAAGACGTATCAATCTAGAGTTACATAGTCACCTTGAGCATAACAGACATGCATGACGTGTGCGGTAGGCCTGGGCACAGTATTTATACTGACTAACAATATCAGCAAGAAATAAAATAAGTGTCATATAAGTGCCAAATGTTGTGTATGCCACATAGAGATTCACATCTATTTACATCTGTGCTGTTTATCTCTTGTTTGAGTGAGAGTTTTTCTGTGGCTGATGTGGGTGACCTGGAAGATGTCCAGATGATGTGTGGCCCCGGGATGCAGGGGTTCTAGTAGTTGTGTGGGTCGTGGTGACGGGAGGTCCAGAGTTTTGAGTATGCTGACTCTGTGATGGGTGAATAAAGCGACCGTTCTGCCCAGCTTGTCTGTGATGCCCTGCTTCATCTAGGCTGCTGCTTTCTTCATTCACTCCTGAGAAAGAGGAGGCAGAGAGACCTTTCAACTGCTGTCTCAGAACAACACTGTTATACAGAAACAAGGGCATGTTGTTTTAAGACTGTGGCCACCTGTTGCCCAAACACAGCACATTAACTCTTCAACATTAATGGAAAGTTTCCCTACACTGGTTCCAAGATGCTGTCTAGTGCACTGACTGATGGGAGCTGTGACCCGTTCAATGTGCTCTCACCCAAATCGTGGGCGCTGTTGTTGCGTTGTTGCTCCAGTTCATTGGCTGCCTTTAAGGCTGCAAGTTTGTTCTTTTTCTTGTTTTCCTCATTTTGCTGTAAATGCAAAATTGGAGAATTCAGTTGACATGACAATAAATGACAAGTAACAGTAGTGACTAGATCTATGTCCAATTATAAAATTAAATTGAAATAATATCAAATATATTTAGGTCTATGTGAAATAATAATAACAATAACAATAATTAGTCATTATAATAATGATTAAATCTATTATTATTATTATTATTATCATCATTATTTATGTTAACTCAATGTTAGTGCTTCCCCCTAGAGGTAAGTTTACATAATATCATCTGCTCATTTACAGGGTTATATTTAAATAAGAATTTATATTTTTGGGTGAACTAGCCCTTACTGTATTTGAACAGACATTTGGTCTTCCCAACTTACTGTTTGAAGTTTCTTTTTCAGCTCCATGTTTACCCTTTTGTATGTTTTAGAAGTAGACTGCAGATAATATATTGCAAGACTAAAATAACAGAAAAAACACCATTACACACATCTTTATATAAGAACAGGAAAATCATATGGATGGATTTAGACATTCCCACTTACACCAAGAGCAGAAGAAAGGGAAGCACCAGTCCGGGGTTCGAGGCATAGCTGAACACTTTACTGAACCAGGCAGGGAAGTCTGTCTCCAGGGTCTCCTGAATCACGTCAAACATGCGGTTTTTCCCACTGCAGAAAAATCTCTAGTTAAGTAGGCTAACAAACGAATAAGTAGATGGATTCAGCCTCGTCAACTGTTTTTTTTTTAATATTTTAATTCTTTTATAAATTTGTATGTTTATTTTTATCTTTTAATTTGAGTTTATTTATGTCGACTTCATGGAAACTATTCATGTAATGGTAAACGCATTTAAAGGCTGTGAGAAAATTGTAGACTTGCACTCTGCTGCGCTCTAGTGTTAACGAACCGGCATTGCAGGATTTGACTTGTTGGCAGACCTCCACTTTTAAATTGTACTTTTTAAATAAATACATATAATACATACAGAAATAACTAAGAGACCATTACTCTAAAGTCTAATTATTTGTATTTATTCTTAATTTAAGCTTTCACCACTCTGACCAATTTCTCAAACACTATTACTCAGTTCTTATGCTAAACAGACCTTCTCCACAATCCCCACCATTTCTGATTCATACATTAAAATTTAAAACCTGAAGGGTCCGCAGTCGAAGGAGGGGGGAATGGTGACAATGGTGTATATAGCAGGCAATGTAGAAAGGAAGAGGATGACCAGCAGCATGGCCATGTAGAAGTTATTGGAGCCTGAAGCTTTGAAGACCCGTTCCTGAGGCACATTACAGCACATCACCGCCCAACACTGCAGGTACATGGACACGTGAAGCCGTAGAAGATTTAATGCTGGAAGACATGGAGCGTAGAACGCCCCCATCCTGGTACACACACAAACAAATATTTGGTGAGATTTAGAGGTATACTGGTTGGTTTCATTCGGAAAGAAAGAAAACATGCTACATAATATGGTGATATTTCTCACCAGATCATTCCCTGGTTGAAGATCAGCCCCAGAACATTCCCACTGACGTCAAACTCTGAATAGGACGGCTAATAAAGAAAACACACTTTAGTTATAAATGAGAGGGAATCCCTGACACTGATTCTGCATGTGTTGTGGATACTCACAAAGCCAAACTCCAAATCCCAGCACCAGCAATTGTTTAGGAATCGCACCAGTACGGCACGGAAGAAATCCCCAATAAGCAGAGTGATGTAAGTCGTCATTGTGTCAGAAATGATGAGACGAACAAACTCCTGTGGACGCAGAGGATGCTGATGATCTCTAACAACTTGAGAAAAGCATAACATTAATTTAACACTTTATTTTAAAACTTATCTTTTTTAAGGATTTGTTCAAACATACACTCAATATTTGTAACTTTATGCAGACTAGAAAATCAAATTAATGCCAAAGCATTTGTACTTGCTTTTCCATTTAGCAAACTGTATTTCGTCTGAAAAAATTATATTTTTCAATAAGATTAATGAAATGCTTATATTTACAAATATTATACTTACAGTACACTACCATTCAAAGTTTCGAGTCGGTAGGTTTTTTTAATGTTTATGAAAAAATCGCTTATGCTCACCAAGACTGAATTTATTTGATCAAAAATTCAAGTAAAAACAGCATTGTGAAATATTATAATTTAAAATATTATTATTTTTAAAAAATATATTTGAACCCTTTCCCCACCAGCGTTTTTGAAAATAAGTTGCCAGCCAGCGCCAGCATTTTTGATAATTTTCACAAAAGTTTCATGGCCCCCAGAATACTTGTAGTATGAATATCTCTGAACATGCAATATGACCTCTGCTTTTAAACAACTAAAAAAAACTTTTATTCTAGCTTCATGCATTCTTTTTTATCAACACTTGAATGTGATCAATTGTAATCAACACATTTGATCAATTCAATGTGTCATTGCTGAATAAAAGTATTAATTCATTCATTTAAAAAAAATTAACTGACCCCAAACTTTTGAACTGTAGTTTAATTCAATGTAAATGTGTCAAATAATTGAAATGTGTAAATCTTTAAAACAGGCTGAAATATTTTTAAATTGTATAAGTCATTAATAGCCACCTCACCAGTGTCTTAGACTAATTTAAGAGACTGCTGTGTACATTTCAATGTTAAAATACTTCGCCCAAAAAATTGCCCTGTAAAATAACGGTAATCTACTGGCAGCTGTGGTTGCCAGCAATGTACTGTTAATTTACAGCCTTTTACCGTTATATTTACAGCTCTCCTTTTTTACAGTCTGTTACCGTAAAAATACCATTGCAGGTAACTCATATAATATGGAAAACCGATTGCTTTAAACACTTCGAGTTCAAAAACTAGTATTTATACTGTACCGTAAAATTCCTTAATTTGAGTCCACTGAAAATGAATATCTCTTTGTATAAAACTGCAAACACCTAATATGTAATAGTGAATTAATTAAAAACATGATTTTAACTAAAGTCTTTGCAGTTCGTATAGCCAACATTAGCATACATTGTGCTAAAGTACTTAGCAAGGAGATTGTCACTGCATCAGCAACTACACAGTTACTGCTTTTAAATAAAGCAACAGGCAGCATAACATCAGTGTTTCTATGCTCATCTTTGACTGAAGCACAGGCTCTACTCTCCAGCACAATGGGACCCACAAAACTCAATTAAACTAACAGATCTCTCCTATATCATCCTGTGCAAAACACATAAAACACTTCAGTTTAATATTTACTCTCCTTATCAGTTATTGACTTCGCATAACTTTTTTTCTATGAACTTTCACTTATATTTCAGTGAAATGAACTTCTTTTGTTTAATACATCTGACTGTTACATTTTACAGAATATTACCGTTTTTCCTTGATTTTACGGTAATCTACTGGCAGCTGGGTTGCCAGTAAATTGCTGTTTTTCTACAGTTTTATGCCGTAAATTAATTTACAGTTAATTACCGTTAAAATACGCTTCACTCTGTTTTTTTTTTATCTGACACCTTTAACACTTTCAACCCCACTGCAAAATCTTCAGTTTTAAATTGTTTCCACACTACAGAGTGTTGGAGTAACACTGAAGCAGTGTTGAAGTTAATTATATAATTCAGTGATTAATCAACTGATGATTGAGCATTAGTGATGAACACCTGATGTTAACAATCAGAATCACTGAAGGACAGAGGAACAAGAAGAAGATAAAAAGCGAAACAAGAACTGCAACTGACTTAAGTCACAGAAGACATTAAATCTCTGAAGATCTCAGCAGAGGAGGATTAAACAAATCCAAAAAATAGCATTACCAGCTTAACTTATTACTAACCAGATTGACTTTATTTTTTCATACGTCTACATACATTCCTGTTGAGAATTAACAGAGATTTAGAATGTTGTTTTGTTTCATTTGACGTTACCATTATGAAGATCAGTGTTTGCTTTAGTTGGGCTCTTGACCCTTGACTAACATTAGCTTTACTTTGCCTGCTCTAACTGTGTGTTTTTAAGACACATTTGTTGTGGCAAAAACAAAGCCAACAAAAATGAGATCAGGTGTTGATGATTATGATGTCATTAATTAATGTTTGGCTCACCGATCTCAGCCTGTGTCTATTACTTATCAATAATGTGTAGATTATATTACTAGACTGTGAAACTACAGCAAAAGATCAAGCAGTGCTGCGTAATCAGTTATGAAGGATTTTTAAACTCATCATTCAATAAAAATTTTTGAACTATGGCTTTACTTCGACACACACTAACATCAAGAATCAGCCAATGAATCTCAGAAATGGTGACAATCAACAAAAAAGATAACATTAAATTTGAACACCCCCAAATATGCAACTAAAAGTCAACACAAAACCAAAAGCAAAAATAAAAGCAAAAAGTAAAAATTAAAGTGAATAACCAGACAATTCAGCTGCATAATTTATTCATGCTGCAATGCATGCTGGGAGTCATGGCTTTTTTTTGGTACCCAACATGCAGTGCAGCATAACACTTATGATTGTCACCATTGTTGAGATTCATACGCCGATTCTTGATGCCTGTGTGTGTCTGGCTGATCAAGAAGTTCAAAATGTTCTAAGTATATCCTTTTTTAAATCATTAACATTTTCTGGACGTCAAATCCCTGATAGATCTCAATCTGTAAAATCACAATGGCAACAAAATCAAAACTACAAAACATCAACCATTTAACAACTTTAGGCAGCAAATGAGATCAGTGAATTGGGCTGTTATATGATGATTGTGACTATTAACAAACAGCCATTGTCATCTTGTTTGCTTCAGCTTTGAGCCATTGCTAATGTATTTTAAAGTCACAGCTACAGCAGCCAAAGAAAAACTAATGTTCAAAAGTCAAGGGTCAAGAGCCCAACTACAGCAATCACTGATCACCATTATGGTAACATCAAATGAAAATATAATGACGTCTAAACCTCTGTCACCTTTTAATAAGACCTTCTGTAGAAGTCTGACAGAAATAAAGTCTGTCTGGTTAGTATTAAGTGAAGCTGGCAATGCTGTTTGTGGAGTTGTTTAATCCTCTGCTGAGATATTTTGCTAAGATTTAATGTCTTTTATCTTGATTTCATCTTTTTTTCTGTTCTTCTTGTTCCTCTTTCCTTCAGTGATTCTGATTGTTAACAGCAGGTGTTCATCAGGGTCTCAATTAACTTAGAGAAAATTTACTGAATTATTCCCTCAGTCAATTGGACTATATTAGTGAACTAATGTAGGGAATAGTGAATGAGGGTATAGGGTAGGGCTGTGCTCAGAATATCGATACGACGATACATCGTCATGAACTCCTGACGATGCGCGTATCGATACAGCAACTGCTGTATCGATACTGTCGTGCTTTTGAATGTAGCCAATTCAGGGCTCGAATTTCAGCGCGGGATTGCAAGTATTACGCATTATTCTAACCATTCCCGCAGGTCTCCCACTTATAATGATTAATCCATACAGGTTATAACATCGAATTAGTCATTTTAAAATATTCGAGACACAACTTCACAATCACAAACAGCGTGAGTGTTCAGCTGTGCCGCGTCTTCTGTCTCTGTCTCTCAAAATGGGTTGCTCAAGCCAAGCGTCAAACGCGCTGAAGGCGGCGATACACTCTCGCTTTCGGGAGTCGGGACATGACGGAATATTCACTTGCATATTCGGGCGAGTATTGCATTGTCACTTAAGTTTTACCATTCGCTCGTCTTTTTAAGTCTTACCACGCAAAACATTCAAGCGATTTTAAACTATTCAATGCTCGCACGCTCTCTGAGAGATGGTTTTCTCTGCATGCATACATAGAGTAAAGCCGCCTCACAAACCGCCTGTGAGTAACAAAAGTTCTTTTTCACGGATTATATCGCTTTTACGGACAAAAACAAGCAAAATGATGTCAAAAATGTCAATCTTGGTGAGTGTCTAATACAGTCGGTTAATGCATGTGACAGTATAATGAACACAGGATCCGTGCACTAGCTCTTAAAGTGACAGCAGCCATGTGTGTCTGTCATTAATATTGTCGTCAAAACAACAAAAGATAGCTTTAATTATGGAATCTGGATTTATAGCCAATGTATTTAATTTAGTCAGGACTAAAATACTACCCAATGTTATTTTACATTTAATTACTTTAAGTGTCTCTAGTATTTCTGAATACTACTGCTAGACCTATTCAAAAACGTTTCTCTTTATTGGTAGGCTATATTTATTCTATTGTATTTATTTGTTTAAAATGATTTCAACGTAATGTAAAGAAATTACTTTGTTTGGTGCACATTCTAACACTTATTTAATTGAACTCTCATTGTTTTTTAATGACAAAAACGAAATAGTTTTTCAGTTTTCACAACTGTTATAACACTGTTTATTCAATAAAGATATTACTGCTACTAAACTCTGCTCAAAAGAAATTTAAATTCCAAATTGATCCATATCGTGATACGTATCGTATCGTGGCTTTAGTATCGTGATGCGTATCGTATCGTGACATTGTTGGTGATACACAGCCCTAGTATAGGGTGTGATTGGGAACACAGCCTCTGAGTGTCGACTTTAAGCGCTGTTAATTCACAGTATATTCCTGTAGGCCACTTTCTCGAATGACAAATATCACCATGAATGCATTTTTTTCTACAGTATATTACTGTTTTAATGGAAAACAGCATGTTACTGTAAAATTTGGCTGTTTTTTACAGCAATTTTTTACAGTGTAACATTTGAATGTGCACTGAAGTAAACCGTTGCTGATTGATTAACAGAAAAAAAAAGTGTAAACACTGTTGGTCTGTAGCATTGAGCAGCTCTAAATAGCAGCATCACCTCAACAAATGGCGTGATATTGGGTCAGGAGTGGGACTGCTTGTCCAAAAAATTCAAGATGGGGTAGTGTTTAGGAAGTTTTTGCAAGTGTTTACAACATTTTTCTCACTAAAGGTTGGGTTAGGAGTTATACAATACTTTGTAATGCTGCTTTGGAACGTATTGTGTTCCAGTTGTACTGGAATTTGGATTATGAAAAGAGCTTTAAGCACTCTTCCCCAGTACCTGTCCCACCATTGTCTCCCAGCAAGGCCCTCTTGGAACATCAGCAGGGTGCGCTGTGATCGGAGGAGCAGTCGAGTTGTCTGGCATAGTCCCGTTGTACAGGTTAGCCTGCCATATTGTCATATTCTTCTTCACAATCTCCTCTTCTGCCCTCTTGAAAATATGTGACAGTTAGGAGAATAAATTACCTTCATAAGAAGGTGATTTAGCACAGATTCTGTGGCAGCTGGAATGATGGAAATCATTACTATTCTGTAAAACAGAAATACTGAAAATGGGACTGCGAGGCCTTTAGTCTTTGTTAAATGAAGCTCTACCTTTAGTTGGATGGCATCCATGAGAGCGATAATGAATGTGTAGAGGTTCCCCAAGAAAAGGGCGAATATGCGTCCCAGCTGCCACTGGAGGGCGATGCGTGGATGATAGTTCTCTAAAGTGCTGATTACATCAAACAGCATCGGACAGAACATTCCCAAAAGAGACATCACCATGTTCACCTGAAGGTATGTAAAACCATGCAAAATTAGTTTTTTATTGATTAACAAGAGGATTACCATTGTTCATTGTTACATGAGTCTGACCTCATTCCTCTCCCACCAGCCGTATTTCTCCAGTCCCTCCAGAGCGAACTTCTGAGACCTGCGTACTACAAAGTAGATCAAGTACCCACTCCCTGCCAGACAGCAGAGCACCAGGAAGTTGGCCAGCACTCTAAGGAATCTTGTCAGGTGGATGTTATCATCTTTTCTGCTCTCTTGCTCCTCCACAATGGTCTCCTGTTAAAGTGCTAAATTTATTATGAAGCCAAGAGACGCCATATTAAAGGTTTTTCCAAGATGTTATATGGTGCAAAAAAACAGATGCTTTGCCTTTAAAGGGATAGTTCACCCAAAATTAAAATTCTGTCATAATTTACTCACCCTCAAGTTGTTCCAAACCTGTATAAATTTCTTTGTTCTGCTGAACACAAAGGAAGATGGGGCTCCATTGACTTACATATAGGAAAAACAATTATATGGAAGTCAATGGTGCCCCAGAACTGTTCAGTTTCCCACATTCTTTAAAATGTATTCCTTTGTGTTCAATAGAACAAAGAAATGTATACAGGTTTAGAACAAGTAAATGATTACAGAATTTTCATTTTTGGGTGAACTATCCCTTTAAGACTTCTGTGTAAATACTTTCTTTGCATGTGAAGGTATAGCAGGTATAGCCTAAGTTCTCTTTCGAAAGGGAACTCGCACTGCGTCGATTGATGCTAAGGGGAACGCCTCAGGCGTGTCAGGTGTCTGAAATCACAATCAAATCATGGCAATCCTATTGACCGGCGACAGTCCATGAATCAATAACGTGCGACTTGGAAGTATATAAGGGCGCCTTGCAAACATAATAATCATCTTTTCGTCTTCAGGGACTTTTCTGTCTGTAAGCGCTTGAAAATCAGGTAATTATGAACTGCACTAAGAAGGCTGAGTGCTTTCAGAAGCGTGCAGACACGTGCTCATGATATTTGACGCCGGGTGACCAGAGCCGGACAGTAACGGAGTACATTTACTTGAGTACAGTACTTAAGTACAATTTTGAGGGATCTGTACTTTACTCGAGTATCATTTTTGGGGAGTACTCATGACTTTACTCAAGTACATTTGAGAGGCAAATATTGTACTCTTTACTCCAATACATTTCTACCCATAACCGTGAGTACCCGAGTAAAAAAAAAAAAAAAAGTAAAGAAAAATCTCGGAAACCCTCAATTTGTTGTTTCCCTCTCAAACGTGATTGGATTGTGCAGGCGCCACTGATTGGGACAGCCTATCAGCAATCACTTTCAGCTTTCCGCCAAAGTCAACTCCATGGTCAGATTTTATATTACACATTAATGTAAGCCAAGCATTGAGTATGTGGTGTGTTTAACACAGTCAGGTTCAAATGTGGCAGTGGCGTAGCCACGAGGGATTTCTGATTTCTTAAAAAAAAAACTTTAGGAGGCAAAATATATTTTTACCGATTATGTGAATTACACTGCGCAAACCAAAGTAGGCTACTACCCAGCGAATGAAGAAGGGTTTGCGCTCAGTCTCCACAGTACATAAAATATTAATTTTGTTTTATTTTATTTTTCGGGTTTGCATTTATGAGGAAAAAACAATGTTATGGATGTGTTCTCCGTTACGGACGTGAGCGCTCTGAAAGCGGCATAAAAAATGCTTTAAAACTTTCACAGAGACATCAAACAGAAAACACAAAACCTTTCTTTAACCTGAATTTCGTTTTGCATTAATTGTATCTTAATTTGAATCAATGTTTCATCAACCAATTGCCTGGGTTTAATAAATAAGAATAGCAGACGATAGATAAGAAATGGAGGCGCCGGCACGTGAACTGGATCTCGTCTCATAAATGAACCGAAACTCAGTGTATAAGGTAGCCTACTTGCCTCTCACAGATATGTCTACTTTTAAAAAGAAAAATTCAAAACGAAAGAAGACAGACTACAGACTGCTCTCTGCTTATGTCATCCGTATGAAATGTGCATTTCTCTCTGGCGCGTTCACTACTGAAGATCGCGAGTCAGCATCGTCAACTTCATCTAGCCGACACTGACAAAGAAAACACTTGTTTATTAACAAGTGTTTATTAATAAACAATTAAAATATCTCCTTGCTATATTTTACATATTCATAATCATTCCTTTTGCCGGTTCTTTGTGACAGCTTTTAGGTGCTTTATTGGCAGCGCCACCCTTACATGTGGTGTGTGTGTGTGTGTGTGTGTGTTGTCCCCGCATTTAAAGATGGGACCCCCCAAAAATTAAATTAAATTAAATAAAGCAACATGGTAAAAAGATGAAAATGACTTGATTTTACTTTCAATTCCTTTTACATTCTCCAAGGTATTAACATTAACATTTTTCATAACTCCATGTAGGACGTTTCTGTGCATAAATGTAAGCACTGTGGCAGTAGATTAGTAATGCAATATTTAGAAAATCTACTCTTGTACTCTTGATACTCAAGTACTTTTAAAAACAAGTACTTTAGTACTTTTACTTAAGTAGACATCTGACTGTAGTACTTTTACTTGTACTTGAGTAAAATTTAGCAAGGGGTATCTGTACTTTTACTCAAGTAACAAAGCTCTGTACTCTATCCGCCTCTGCGGGTGACACACACGAACTGTGCATTTTCTGTCTGGGAAGGAAGAGCGCGCACAGGCAGGTCTCGAGGGAACCTGTGCAAATTGTGAGCGTTTTTCTTTGAGAGCACTCCGATCTTGTCTGGACCTCACGGCTCAGGTCCCACTCGTGTTGAAGGAAAAAGCAAAGCAGCGACGTGCGTTATGGGGTTCCCAGATGGAGCTCGCTGATCGCCTTGAGAGGGTAAACCTCTCAGACGATTCGGCGGCTGACGAGAGTGAGCTGCAGGTAGATGATGAAAGTTTTTCTATAAAAAAGAGAACGGCAGCGAGTGCTCTTCTGGACGAACAGGAGATGGCTGATGAGGGTGGTGATAATCGGATAGATCCTGAATCTTCTCAGCCACCCTGCACCGTGTATACTGAGCGTAGTTGGTGTTATGGAACACGCCGCGGGCAGGCTGCAGCTGACATGGCTGCGCATTGGGGGAGAAATCACTTGCGATAAGAGCGGATTCTCCCCGGTCATAAACCACCAGCTCAGGTGAGCCTTCCATTTCTTCCCGATCTCCATACTGAGATTGAGAGGACATGGAAGAACCCATATTCTGCCCGTATCCACCGACATCAGCTGGCTAGTCTCGCTGATGTTGAGGCGATAGGATATCGGACATCGACACTGAAAGCTCCAACCCTGCCAGTTTGAATGGCAGATCATACACGCCAGTGGGTCAGGCTGGTGCTGTCCTGCACACCATGGCGGTATTGCAGGTATACCAGGCCGATATGCTGGGGGATCTCGACCAGGGGGTGGGGCACCTGAGGTGGTTACTGAGCTGCGCCACACCACAGATCTAGCTCTCTGTGCCACCAAACAGACTGCTGCCGCGATCGGCCGGTCGATGGCGGCGATTGTGGACACGGAGAGACATCTGTGGTGGAACCTGGCCGACATTGGGGAGAAAGAGAAAGGCTTTCTCGGCTTTTCGGCACCTCCGTGGAGGTGGTGGTTGGAAAGTTCAGAGAGGTGAAGGCGCGCTCAGCTGCATTTAGGACCATGTATACCGCTGAGATCCGTATCCACGCCCAGACAGACGGGAGGGCCTGGCCCATCATGGTCCGAGGACCGTAGACAGGGCCAGAGAGCCAGTGTCGCCTCTTGTGCGCCGCCCCCGGCGAGTAGGTCGCAGAAGAGGCGTGACTCCCGCAAGAAGAGGGATCTGATGGAGGTGATCCAACACAGCGTCGGTGATGGATCGGTGATGGATCACCGTGATTATATCTTAGCCCTCTCTTCTAATCCCCGACTCCCCAGGCGCTTCTTATATCAGGCCTGAGGCTGGGCCCATGGTGAGAACAATGTTTTGATGGCCTGCCTCAGCTTGGTTAGTGAGAGTGCCTCTTTCAGGCATGTAAAGGTGGTAGACCCCATGTTCATAAAGAACTGTCTGGTGAGTTATCACTTCGCACACCGCAGGTGAGCTGAGTTGGTTTCTTTAAGAGTAATTTTTGTGTGCAACTAACACTAAAATGCATCTCTCTACAGACCTCGTTCCCTGTCTAGAGTTATGGGGTCATGTCAATGTCATTAAGTAAGGTAATATTTTTTGGTATTAGGGTTATTAGGTGGAAGTTCCCCTGAAGTTCCCCTGTTAGGTGGCTAGAACGATAGAGAGAAGCACCAGTTGTATGGGCTTCTTTTGTGAGTATGTGATGGCTTCCCTTGTTGTCATATGTAAGATAAAGCGAGGAGTGCCACCGCTCATTCTAGTTGTAAAACTTTTTCTATAGCTTAGGCTTCCTCTCATGGTGAGAGCATTTGAGGCCGCCGCTCATTCATATAAAATATGTTATCAGCAGAGAGTTAAGTGGCAGAATGTCATTCTAGAAAGAAGAATGGGAATGTTTATACTACCGCTAGTTTTTTTCTTCTCTACACACACCTGTGTTAGCCCTCGGGTTATTAGCCACCTCAGGGTAGAGTAGTTGGTCTCTCTCTCTCTCAAAAAAAAAGTGACGCTGGAGATTCAGATAGATCTTATGTCCGGCCCACAGGACCGTCTGACATCTTTTGGTCCTGAGTACATAGCTTTGTTTGGGTTTTCAATAGGCTGAGCGATTCAGCAGCCCCTTGTATGAAAAAATTCTCGTAAGGCTGTGGCTCCTCCGAGCCCTCAGGTAGATCTATGCTTACAGACTGGCACTTACCAGGGCCGCCTCTGTAGCTGGCCTAGGCTATGCTAGGGATAGTGGAGGCGTTCTGCTAAAGCATTTATGCTCCTGGCCCTTCACTTTGTAAATGTAGGTTTTTAGCATCCCTATATGACAGGCTCCTCCCATGGGAGTCATTAGGCCAAGGCCCGCCCCCTTCTCTGCATTCTGGGGCGAGAAGAGTAATGCAGCTTGGTGCAGAGGTATGATTTATAAAGACCCTGGGTTAGGCTTCATTAAGGCCTCCCCGGTACAATGGGTCTTTCTTGAGCAGGTTTAGGCCGTCTTTAGCCTCACAAAGAAACTGGGTTTTGTCTGCCCGACCCTGCCGTGCAGAACTACCATATGGATTTGGGCCGCCAGAATAGGCTCCACTCACCTCACTGAGCTACTGCTCGAGCGTCGGGTTGTAGGTGGGTGGCTTACAAGCAAGCCTCACTCCCCTAGGCTGGACGCAAATAAAAGTTCTGTCACCTCTAGAGCCGCTGGCGGGCCCGCACCCTGTTAAATCTCAGGGTGAGGTGGTAGTATTCCCCTGTGATACAGGGTAGGTCTGAGTACTTCACTTTCAGTTCCGTATTATCCTACCTCGCACCATTATGGCTCGGGTCGAGCGGAAAGTTCTAACCTTCACTTCTTTTTGGTTTTCAAAGTACGCTCCCGTGAAGCCAGAGCATTGCCATGAGCTGACGCCCATGCGTACAGGTGGTAGGCCCCTGACTCTGGGGCCTCCGTTGAGGCAGAGTGGTGAATGTTGTACTCCCCTTGCTTAAAGGGTGGTGCGTTTTTTGCTGAGTACACTGCCATGGGCAATGTGATTAGGTACCAGGATGCTTTAGGCGCTCTGTAAACAGCTTATCTGCCAACGAAGGTTGCACCGGTAGGTTGTAGGCCTCATCAGGCCTCTTTGACTGGGCATCCCCCAAGAGGGCACGATAGGCCAGCTTACGTCAGGTGTTTGGCCTTAGTAGTTCGGGCAGTAGACTCACTGATGGGAAGGGAGTCCTTACGTTGTGGGACATAAATTTTAGCTGCGACCAGGTAGCTAGCCTTATTAGGCCTCCTGTGGGTGGCCTCAATATTTGTGTTGGTGTAGTATGGTTCCCAACGGTATATGTGTGTGGCAGAATAGACTGGCTATCAGCTAGTACAGGCCTCATTGATGGCGAGTCCCCGGCAGTATGAATTTGGCTGACAGCACTGACTTGCTTCAGGCCTAGTAGGCCTCTCAATCTTCTAAGTGAGTCTTGAGTGACGGGGTATACAAACAGTGGTGTTGATGGTCAGGCGTTGACCTTAGCAAGGCCTCCCTGACCCTGAGTCCCATCATGGGGTGCTCGACTGTTAATTCGCTGGCCAATCAGACAATTGGCTTCAGTGGGCCTCTCTGGAGGCTAGCCCCGATTATGATCAGCCGAAAGTAGGATTGACCACTGTCAGGCGGTTGGCCTTATCAGGCAACCATGTAGCTCGGTCCCCAACCTTACGGCCATGGCAGTCAGTTTCTTACCTAAAGAAAACTTCAGACGACCGGCTTTAACAGGCCGCTCCAAGACTGAGTCCCAAGACTGGCAGGCCTTAGCAGGCCACCCTGGGACTGACACCCGGAATCAGGGTTCATAGCAATAACCAGTTTTCAACTAGATATCAGGTAGTAGGCCTCTCCAGGCCTCACTCAAGGCAGGTAAGTATGCCTCATCAGGCCTCTCTGAAGGTGAAGTCCCAAGGATGGGCAACTGCACAGCTAGCTTTACTGGCTGCCAGGTAGTTCCCAGATTCGGGCACTAGGTAGCCAGCCCTCGGTTATCAAGTAGTAGGCCTCACCAGGCCACCTTGTAAGTGGTCTCCCAGCGACGCTGGGTTCTGGCAGCTAGTGGCCGCTTGCTATCAGTTCAGCTGGCCTTAGCACCCTAGCATGACTAATGGTCATTTTCTGTTACTGGTTCCCTCCCGGAACCTCTTTTATCTAGCCTACAGCCTGGTTTGCCTACCAGGCAGGCCATGTGCTCCCCTCACTGAGGGTCACTATGAGAAACTCAGCCTCCTGAGGCTGGTCAGATGGTCGCAGAGCAGTCCTTAGGCATTTTCAGGCCTCCTCAGTGCTTTGAAACACAAGCGCTGGGTAGATCTGTGGACCGAGCAGAGAAACTCCCCTCACTGGCAAGGGTTGTAAGCGCTATGCTGAGTCATGCTCTCCTGGATACCCCGTCTCTGAGATCCGGGCCGAGTGGTTCACTGTCAGCTTTGCAGTCCCTCTGGTTGGATGCCTTATCTAAAGGCAAGTGTCCAGAGGCTCTGTCTTCGTTCGGACAGACAGGAATTTGGCCAGACTGAAATGTCCAATGTAAGTGACACCAGCTCAGGCCTTCCTGATGGCATTTCGGGTGAGTATGTTCCCCTGAATAGTGATTGGCTGGGGCTCCTTCGGGTTCCCTAGCCACATTCCCAGGAAGGGACCCCTTCTAAATTTGAAGCTGTAGTCCTAGGCCCTTGAGCAGGCCCAGGTAGGCCTTTCATTAAACAATGTTTATGAAGGTTTCCCTGTGGAACGTATAGCTTGGGCTATGACCGTATAGGGAATGCTGTCACTGACAGCCCAGTGTGACCTGAGGGTGAGTGGTTCTGGCATTTCATTTGAATTTTCTGGTTTTGACAGTTGTCACTGCCAATGGCTATGCACTCCCCTTAGCAATCGACCCAGTGCGAGTTCCCTTTCGAAAGGGAACGTCTAGGTTACGACTGTAACCTCTGTCCCCTGAGAACAGAGAACGAGACATTGCGTCTTTTCGCCGTGCCTCGGGGCCTGCCTACCCAACAGTCCCTTAAGACGAAAAGGTGACTATCATGTTTGCAAAGCGCCCTTATATACTTCCAGGTCGCACGTTAATGATTAGGGTTGGGTTCCGAAACCGGGCACCCATATGTAACCGGTACCTAAGTAACCGGTATGTAACCGGACCGAATCAAAAAGCAGATTTCGGTGCCTCATTTCGGTGCCACTTAAATGCCTCAGCTGTCGGTTGAAATATCTGCCCTCTGGTTCTCTGAAACGGACGTAAGAAACATCATCACCGCATGTGATTGCTAGTTAACCCTTAAGTACAATCGTTCAGACTGGTGTGCTTAATGTTCAGATCGCGTGATCATCAACTTCTAAAATCAAATCAGCACTCACGCTTTTGCTGGCGCTGAGCCAGAGAGACAGACACTCTCAGCGCTGTCTCATCTATTCAGTGTTTTCAACCACACAAGCTTTATTTTAGGTTTCAGACATTTAAATACACATACTAGCAAAACAACATTTATAGTTTGTAAAATAGCCTACACACTGATGTCTATGGAAGCGGCAATAACAATCCTTTCAATTATAAATTGATGACATGTTTAGATACACATTGTGTAGGTAACTATAAAATTTACTCTGTTCTTCTCACACTTCACCAGCCACTTACTTTAATGTATTTCGGGAGAAGTGGATGAATTGACGTGTTGTAGCCTGACAATTCTCTGAACTGCAGTGCGTACTAACATGGCGCTCATTGTGCGTTATAGATCAACTAACATGAATCATGATCATTATAGAGGTTTCTTAAATGACAAAACACATTTACTTACATGTATTTAAGAATAAAAATATCAGCCAAGGACTGACCGACAATCATAGTTTGATATTTGTTCCGCGTCATGTTTAGTCTAATATATACATTTTTGTCATAGTAATGACTTGTTACATAATGTTAACTTATGTCATAATTTATAACTCTGTCATAATTAGAATTCTATTCTCATAATTGTGACATTAACTATGATTTCCAAGCATTTTCTTATGTGGTGGAATGGGCTTTCATAGGGTCTGACATCAAAAATCCAAAAATAGCCATTTTTTTGCAGCTCCTTGTCAGTTCATGGTCTTTTTTTTAAATGCATTACAGCTTTGAAACTTACAGAATCTTTTTATGGTATATCAAGTTCTTTTTTTAGAGAATTTTCATTCCCATTATAAGACTTCTCTATTATGGACAAAATGGACTTGGGCCCAGCACAAGGGGGGAAATAAAATAAAAAGAAACACACCTTAAAGCTTGTGGTGATGGAGGCAAACTTGTTGTCTGCTGTCTCAGGATTTCCAATGAGGTAATCCCAGCTAGTAAATGTCTTCCAACTGAAATTAAAGCTGGTGTCATCTCCGCCACCTTCTTCATTTGCATTGCGGGCCATACTGTTCGGTAAGAGTGTGGAGATCATTAAATAAATGTTTTGTGTATGAACTAAGGGGCAGAAAAGTGCTTATTAACACACTCAACATATATAAAGGTTTCTGATATAGATATTAAGACTATGCAATAGACTGTCATCACTCACGTCCTGATTACCACCATGTAGCTATATGCCACTGTGCCCACTCCCACCAGGAAGTAGGAGAGGGGCATGCGGAACTTGAGCCACCCAATGGCCCGCTGGCTGTTGTAGTAGCCATAGAAGAGGACAGAGTATTTAGCATAGCCCTGAAAAAAAAAAAGTACTGGACTAAGATGTAAGAGAAATTATGTTGGATGGCGAGGTATTTACACTATATTGTTCAAAGGTTTGAGTCTCTAGGAGTAAAACATTAAATATTCATATAATTTATAATAAATGTTTTTCTATTTTAATATATATATAAATTGTAATTTATTCATGTGTTGGTAAAGGAGAATTTTCAGCATCATTACTCAAGTCTTCAGTGTCACATGATCCTTCAGAAATCATTGTAATATGCTGAGTTTGTGCTCAAGAAACATTTCTTATTATTATAAATGTTGAAAGATTTTTGTCAGGATTTTCCTTTTTGATGAATAGAAAGTTCAAAAGAACAGCATTTATTTTTAAATATAATTTTTGTAACAATGTAAAAATCTCACTTTTAATCAATTTAATGCATCCTTGCAGACTAAAATTATTAATACTGATTTTTAGAATGTGTATTCAGTGTATAATCATATAGACTCTTTACCCCGAAATCCCATAAGACTGCAAAATTCATGGCACTGGCCTCTTCCACTCTGGGCACTGTCTTTCTGGGTAAACTGCCATACGGTTTCCCCATAAGAGCCTGGAAAGTCAATACATTCATAGATTGAGATACATTTAAGAATGAGCTATACTGTTGCATTGAATGAAATAATGTGGTGTTCATTACTAATATATAATTTTAAACTTTGTAGGATTTAATATATTTCTCACCTCTGGAACCATCACCAGCCCAAACGTCAATCCAAATAAAATCATATTGATGCCATACATCCACCTTAGAAATATGAAGTAAGAAGCAACTGATGAGCCAAAATGGCCTGTAAGGAGATAAAAATAAGTTTGTAAATGAGAAAAGATGAGGGTGGGGAAATGCAAAAAAAGGAAGTAGAAAAAAACAGCAGGAGAGAGAAGGAAGCTCAAACTAAAGGCGTCACACTTTCTATTTCCTTTATCTTCATCTCCCACGGGATGCATGCAGTCTTGAAGTTCTCAAAGTCACGCTGAAACTTCATCCATTTCTAAAATCAAAGTAAAAAAGAAAAATGATGATCACTCTGAAGCTGTAGAAGGAGATCTCCAGCTCCATTAGTTTCATAATGACAGTTATCTCCTCACCTTCATCATCATGACCTTGTAGGCATAGAGCTTCCTGCCTTTGCCTTTTCCTAGAGCCCCTTCATATTTCTCCACAAACTCCTGTGACTCCCTGAGACAGAACACAAATTGCTGGCATTTTGAAGGCGGGTGTACATACACATAAAAACAGCAGTGACGTACCTAAGGATAACTAGTTTTTTCCTCATGGGCCAGGGCTTTCCTCTCAGTGTGGCGATTAGCTTTTTCCTTTCGTCCACAGCTTCTTTTAACTTTTCCAGCTCCTCTGGGGTCAGAGACCCCAAAACTCCCACTGCCTGATTATCCTTTGACTCTAAGTCAGAGTCGGACTGAGATTCTGACTCAGATTTAGACTCAGACTCTGAGCTGGGAGGGAGAAATGATGCAGGTATGCTGAACGAGACTCAAACATCTGAGACCACAAATGGGATGCATTTTTTGATGTATTTTTCAAATTCAATACAACATATCCATTACAAATGACATCTATAGCAAAACCATTTCAGAGATAAGTTTAATTGAAAATTTTACATGAATTTCAGAATTGTAATAAATCTTCATTTTGCTTTAATGCAAAATGTTTTAATAATAAAACAATATAAATTAAAAAGAACTGAATATTATATTATTATTTCCTTAACATCATTGAAAAAATGTTCTAACAAGCTAAAACATACTTTAAAAAAACGTATTTAAACAAACTTTCCAGGTTTCTATTAAAAAAAGACTTGACAGAAGTTAGTGGTTATACATTTTTTGATTTTAGGGATGCACTATATATCGGCCATCATATCTGCGTTTATTTTTAATGCTATCGTTATCGGCCCGGTAAGAAAATTTGGCCGATATCTTAAAGCCAATAAATAATGGATTATTCTCCTTCACCTGCGACACTTGAGATGCGTATTGTTCACCATTAAGGTTTTTGAATTGCTTGAAATATGATTGGAATGACTTCAAAAAGGAAACAGCGCAAGTCTATCATATAGGCTTAGGCTACATAAAATTATAATGAGAACATTATAATTGTGTGCTTGGGGCATGCATGTAATGATGAGACTTTTGTTTTTGTAATCAGGCTCTCAAAAATTATATAAATTTGGACCAACATATGGATTATTATATGGCTTTCAAATATAAAGAATTATCGGTTATCGGTATCGACCAAAATGTTCATATTAGTGCATCCCAAATTGATTTACTAAAATGATTCACAAAATAATACAAACTTACATAGTTTCTGGTTTCTTTATTTTCTTTTTCTTTTTCCTTTCCTTCAAGGGCATGTCATGACAATCTTTTTGTTTTGTCTTTCCATGCTTTGCATCGTCCTCCTCATTTGCATGCTTCTTTCTCTTTTTCTTCACATCTTTTTCCTTCTCATCCTCCAGCTTCAATGTCTTAGTTCTTTCATTTTTAATGTTCTTTTTCTCCTTTCTGAATTTTTCTTCCTCAGCCTCCTCTGCATCTGCATTCTTTCTTCTTTGCTTTCTTCCATGTTTTTCACCCTCTTTCCTTGCTGTTTTGTGCCGTTTATCGTGTTTCTTCTCTGCTCTTTTATTGCACGCCTCAGTTGTTCTCTTCTCTGAAGCTCTTCTGCTAACTTCACTATTTCTCACTCTCCTCCGTTTGCCATCTCGCGTCACCTGCTTCTCTTTACCTCCCTCAAAATTTTCCTCCACTTCTACATAGTAAAGGCTGAATTCATTGTCCTTCCCTACAAAAAAAATTTTTGTACATAGATTACAACACAAAATAAAAACATGCATACAGAAAGCAGTCAACCTTCCTACCTTCATCCTCCACCTCAATGCTCACTGTAAAGGCAAACAAATAACAAAAAAGTAAAAAGAATGAGACATAAGTTCCTGACATTGTTTAGAAGACATTGTTAAGTCCTGAAAGGTTAGACATGTAGGGTTCCCAGCAGCTGTTTCGCGTCTGTTGTGTTTGACCACAGTGTAACCAGACCGGTAAGTGCTGACCGGGTCATTACATGCTTAGCGGTGTTGCACAATAGACACAATGGTGCTTTTCATCTTCAGTGTCAATGCAAACTGTCCTCTTACATGGGGGTCAAAGGTCAAAAGAATGAAAGTAATGTTCATAAGTTCACATGCACATACTTAAAGTTCATATTTTCTGCATGACCACCTTGGTATTTAAAGCTGAAATACATGATTAAGTCAACAGGTTTGCATCAAAATGAAAATAAGGCATAAAATATTAATTGCCTATTAAGTAACTAAACATTTCAAATAATTTGATCAGAATAAAAAATCATTATCAGATTTTTAAATATTGAGACAGACTGTGTAAAGGAAAAGACAGTATCTCTGCATACAATGTTACATTAGTTTTTATTATTAATAACAAAAATTACAATTAATAAGTTGAAATTATAAATCAGTTGTTAGTTGTGGCTTAACACTGATAAACACAAACATCACATGTTTAAAAATGGTGTTAAAAATATATCAAAAACACAGAAAGTAATAATCATCTTTACCGTCACTTTCAGATGCGATGAGTTTATGCCGTGGCATCCTCCTCTTGAGTGGCCTTCACTCTGTGACCTCGCGTGTGTGTGTCCATGCATACAGGAGAGAGAGTGAGTGAGAGTGAAAGTGTGTGTGTGTATGTGTCTGTGTGTGTGTGTCTGTGTGTGTGTGCGCGCGTGTGTGCGTGCGTGTGTGTGAGAGTGATGATGATGATGATGTAGCATTGGACCATGGCCTGATTGAACAGAACCTGGAGGGTGATGAGTACCGTGCATGAAGAGTTCACTTTTTACTAGCATTCAGCGACCTCTCCCAGGAACAATAACCAGTCGAAACTCTAGAGCCTCTCAATTTCACCCCTTTGAATTATTCAACAGAATTATGACTCTTTTTTCAAAAAGAAAGGAGGTCACACAGTACCAAGCCAAAATAGATGATGATGGTCTAATGACTGACTATAGAAAGATCGAAGAGGCAGATAACAGAAGATTAGTGCCACAGGGTCAGTGTGAGCTGTACTTCCACTTATAGTGCAAAAATTACTTAAATACTGCTTCAGTTTGCAGGAAATAGTACGATCGGTTTACAAATAACATACCTAAGATGTTAAGGAATGACTTTCATGTAGGAAAATAAGATTTTAGAAATTCAGATTGTAAAAGACTTTTAAAAATACATACATAATATACATGGACAGCTGGACAGCTGACATGACATTGTGTTTTCACTCCTTACTGAAAATATCAACTTTCTCAATATATCTCAATTTTAATATGCAAAGAAACATGGAAGAATATTTCCCAGTATATGCCCACAGTGTTTATGGGACATTAATTTTTTGTTAACACATTTGTTTTTGTTTTGTTCATTTTTTTTCATCGTCATTCAAGTCATAGAGGACTTGTCCACATGTGATTTATAAAAAAATATGGTGTTGTTTGTTAGTTGTTAGTTAATGCATATGGGGCCTTAGTGTGAAGTGTTACCAAAATAATTTAAAATGGCCCCCAACGTTTCCTGATTTTGAGACAGGCAGTTTTTTTCTGCTACACCTGAATTTGACCTGGGACCAAATGCTAATTGTTCAAATAAAATACCCCCTCAGCTTAAATTGTTCTGCAGTGTGAAACTCTAAACTACATGAGCAATGCAGTGCCACTACTGTATATCAAACAACGTACAGTATCTGGCTGGCACATTAGAACCAAAGCTGTCATACAATAAAGACTAAAAACAGAACGTCTGGAAGTGTCTGCGGAGAAATTAATAGGAAGATAGATTTTACTCATATATGCCTGAGGTGTCCTGTGGGATAATGCTCCACAGAACAGAAGCATGGAAATATTAGAGGTATGGAAAAGGAGAAAAAGAGCTCTATAAATAAATCTTGATATGCTGCCATATTTAACTGAATCTTATTAAGGTTGTCTATCTTTATCTTTCTTATATTGTGCCTAAATTATCTCAACAATATTTAATAATGTGAATTAGACAGATAGAAAGAAAAAAGAAAGAACAGAACAATAATAACAGAACAGATGATACTGAGACCAGAAGGCAGTGGTAACCTTGTGGTTAAGGAATTGGGACGCTAATACTAATCAATGGTGGGAATCAACCAGTAATTTGGAATTTACTGATGGAATCTTATCATTATTACATCCTTAAAATAGGGATTTCACCTATTTCTCTTTGCAACTAATGTAAGGATGATGTTCAGTGCATGATGTGATAGACATAGCTAACAAAAAAGTGAGGTCTATCTCCAAAGCAAAGCACTGAATCAAACGCCACCAATAGAATTTGTGGATTCCTTCATTGCTGTTACACAGCCTGACCACCTGGTGTCACTAAAGATAAACGTTTGGGGCTGTTCTGTTGAAATGAATGAGCAGTCTGGGGGAATTCAATGATGTCAGGCTATATTGAATTTTCAATGTTTGACCCATTTCTGATGCACATTACCCACTTAGTCAGCAGGTATTTACATGTACACAGTGTTTTCTGTGCATATTGTGTCAATATCTGTGTGTGTGATCCCTGTGCTTGAGTGTCTTCCCTTAGTATTTGTCTGTTCGCCCTGCAGAGAGATTGTTTTCCTCGGCTAAGTTTAGCAGCACCATTTGGGGATTCCATCTCCGGAGGATTGACACAGGGTGTAACTGTATTCTGAGCATGCCTCCTTCTCTCCCCCTCACTCCCTCAGCCACTGGCACACCTTTGATGAGAGAAACGTTCCTCTTTTCCCAATCATGTCTTAAAGAAAAAGGTTTTTACTTTAACAGAATTTGACAAACATTTTTTTTACAAAACTTACAGTACAAATAATGCTAAAACGACACCATAAAGAGCTATTAGCGTCAATAGACGTGACTAAAACTATGAGCTGGCAGCTTTCATTTGAGTCACAGTGTCTCTTTTTTTAATGTTGTCATCAGAACCGCCCTCAGGTGATCATGTGAGCCGACGCTGCTGTTCTGCATTCCATTACTCTGAAGAATCCTATAGTCAGGATATTTAATATCATGGGTGGATGAAGGTTTATATTTATAGAAGAGCCGGTACCCTGTTACTCTCACGTTTTCATTCAAGTCATATTCTCAGTACTGCATGTCCAGGAAAAGAAAAGAGTAGCCTACCCACTGGAAAGATGATTCATTTCTATTTTGCACTCTTCGTTGTTCATTTGCTCAAGGTACAGGACGAAACTTGTGATGGGGAAATTGTAGTAGATTGATCCTGTGATTAAATATGGATGAGTGTACTAGAACATGAAGAAAACTTACATAGGCTACTTAATGTTTGTTTACATCACATTGGTGATAGAGGACTAAAAATATTCACACTCAAGGCTGCTGACTGGTTTGTAGACTCAAGACAGTTTTCCTCTGATTGTTTGTTCATTTAACTTTTTAAAATATGTTTTAAACAGAATCAATACATTAATAAAGCTGTACAATAAATGATTATAACAGGAATTTAATAGCCTTTGACTGAAGACTATCATTCTGTGATGAGGATTATTATTATTTTTTTTAAGTGGAAGATGTCAAATTATGCAGATGTGATTGCTGAAGCCATATTTTAAAAATGTTGACAGTTACAAGCAGGGTCACTTTTATATAAAATAATAGAATAAATACACTTATACTGTGAAAAACTGTCAGAAGGGTACTTTTGAGCAACTGAACAGCAAATCTCCCTTGAGGAATAAGAGCCAAAGTGAAAGCATACTTGAAGCAACTACAAGGGCAGGAAGAAGCTGTCAAAATAAAGTGGATCAACTGACAGGTAAAGCAAGGCTGGTTTAAACGGCGCATTTTATGGATTTAAATACATTCTGTCATTCTAGAATACTGGTAATGTGTTATTACCTAATTTCAGTATTATTTAGACATAGGCTACTGTTATAGTTTTGATTTACATTGATATTAATATCAATAAAAATATTGATTTTGTTGTTATTTTTATTTTCTCCATTCTCTAAGTTTTAGCCATTTGTTATGTGTTTTTTTTTATTTTTTTATCTAGGCTATATATCTAATATCTAGTTTTTATTAAGATATTTTGTATTTATCAAGATTTATTTAGAAATTTTGCCTTGGCAACTAGCTGAACTGAAATAAGTTTAAATTGTATATTTATTTTATTTCAAATAACAAAAAATGTTTTTTTTTTTATGATTTTAGTTAACCATCATAACTCTGCGTCACTAATAGTTTTCTATCGTTCCATAGTAAAGTATTTTGTTTAAAAAATGTAGCCTATTGTCTAACAGGTTTCATTCATGACCTCATGAAGAATAACCAGTGTTTGTGTATGTGTTTCTGTGGAGATAATCCAATACGTTCATTAGATCATCATTGCCTTAAGGTGATGAAGACACACTTTATGAGTGTGAGGATGTTCAGAGTGTTTATCTGATCCTGATGCTGTTATGGGCCAACACAAGTAAGCCAATGGCACCGGCAGCTGTTACAACTCAACTTATGACACGGTTGGCAACCTAACAAACACCTTATGGCACAAGAGGTTACTTAAATCACTATACACTATAAAAAAAAAATTCATGTGAGTGTTATTTGTGTGTTTCAACTCTGTATTCAGTCATTTTGGAGCTTAACACTTGTAAAAGCATAAATAGACGGAAAATGGAAAATTACCTTACTGTACAACACAGTCTAAATATACAATATCTTTTTGTCCACGTGTTCCACGAATGATGAGAAAACACATATCTAACTAATTCATTTCCCACAGCCAAGAATGGTATCCAAATGCAAAACTACTTCCACTTAACTGGATCATAAAGAGCAGTTATGTATGTAAATAAGGAAAACAATATATTATATTATAAGGTGGATATCTTGAAAGCTTCTGCGAAATGTAAACGCAGTGAGGTTCTGTGTGCTTCAGGATACATGCAGATAAGGCAGCATTTACACATTTACCTTGCATTGAAGAGAGTGACCTACTGTCCTACTGTTATCTATGCATAAAAATGCAAAAATCACATGGTGTTTGTTTGCCTTGTTCTCACGTTTGACATGGGCTTGGATCTCTACTTCAGCCCTGACACACCAAAAACATCAGTTTAAAGGAAAAACATGCTGTAGATTAAGCCACTCCCTTGTACAGCATATTATTGGCACACACAACAAATGCATGCAGACACACAACAAATGCATGCAGACACACACACACACACACACACACACACACCAAACTTAAACTAGTTCAGGCAAGTTTATTTCCCCTATATTTGCAGTTTTTAAACTCGTCCCCCTCCTCCACCTCAAACTGTTCTTTTCACAAACAACCATGCGGCTTCTGCCTTTGCTCATGTGCAAAGCCACCCTCAGGACCCACTGAGTTGGGTTACACTGAAAGGAATCTCACTCACACCAATGCTGATCGTGGGTTCATACAGTTCACATGTTCACATGAGTGTTTGCTGCTGACTGACACCTAGGTATGTGTGTAATGAAAAACACGAGAGCTGTCAGCATCTCCAGGAACAGAGGTAACAAAATGAATGAACTTCTTTGAAATCAGATTTCCAGAACAGATCGTGTAAACATCTTTTTTACACAGGCTGCTCTGAACAGGCCTTAAACTTCGCTGTTGTCCTGACAGAGAGTATATATCTCATTATTTCTAATTCATTTTCCACATCAATTTATCTATCTACATTTATATTTTCCTACTTACAAACAAATTTTCATAACATTGTTTCTGCCATTGTAATTCCTATGTGAATGCGTTTCTGACACCTCTGTGCAACATTAACCAGTCTGTGTAAATGCACCACTTCAGATGCAGTTCCTGTGCCGCCTTTGCAATGTAAAGATGGCAACAGAGTGTCAACACATGCCAAATGTTGTAGTGCCAACAACAAAAAGAGCTGTGAAACAGAGTAGGACAGATAACACAAAATTGGTCACTGATAAATGTGGAAAGTACCAAATAAAAATGAGAATATATGTATAACACAACATGTACCCGTTAAATCAATTGCATGAGCCTGTTGTTGACTTTGTCGGTGTCTTCAGACTTAGGAGACTTTCATCAGGAAGGTTTGAACTCGTCATCAGTGTAGGTGGCAAACCTTAAAGAGGATTCTGTGCCCCTCTTTGACTTCCAGGCCCCGCCCCCAAACGTCGAGTGACCAATGAATACCTGCCTCGACATGGTGACGCTATCAGCCACTCCCCTTTACTAAAGAAGGAAACAAACAGAGTGAAAGAAGAGAGAGCTTGGGAGAGGACAGGAGAGGAATTGACTTATTTACATCACCGACACAAAGCCTCGGGAGGAAGACAAACTCGTTTTCGAAGAGTCCCTGTTTTTTAACCGAGGTTCATCGACCGATTAGATTTTAAAATCCACTAAGGTAAGCACCGCAACGTTTTTTGAATTTTATTTTAGGTGATAATCAGAGGTTTGTCGCTGTGATCACAGAAAGACTGACCCCGAAAAATGGAGCGATTAACGATTACCGATTCGGAACGTGTAGCACAGCGAGTTAAACCGCTCGATCGGATCTAACTTATACGTTAAACGCCAGGGTTGCTCGAGGTATTGAGGTTTTTTTGTTCAACGGGTGGATCCCTAAAATAACAAAGTGTCCCAAGTTGTCAGCAGCACCTTCATGAACATCACAAGCCCCAGAACGTGACTCTTCTACATAAAACACAAGACACGGACAATCGCCAACTTTTTTCCATCTTGTTCATTGATGTAGAAGTCGAATTGCGACTGTCTGTTGTTGAATCTTTTTTTTAATTCAGAATTTCAACAGTGGTTTTTGAAACAGACGCACAATCCAACGGATTATCTTCATTGTGGCGGTGGGTTGTTTATTGTTCGACCGTGCCCTTATAAATCCAAGGAAATCTCGTTTAGTTTTTCGCGTTTTCCTGCTCTATGATATAATAGTAACCCAGACAAACAACTGGCTAAACCAGTTAGCTTTTTGTTTCGGGCTTGTTCAAAGGGCAGATTGTCTGTCAGGGGAGGAAATCCTGGAGCAAAGGGACAAAGAAGGAAGATTAAACAAAGCCAGTGCTGCTTCATAGTCGCGATGATTGCGTTTGGATGTGTCATGATATTTGATGTCTTGCTATTTTGGGCTTTTACCTGCCTTTCTAGTTCCTTCAGTCCTCTACAATCCACCCAGTTTAGTTTGTCTGTGAGATTCGACCGAAGTAAGCTGCCTAACGTTACCTAGGTAGCCACGCGCTTATGATGCCCCATTATGCTGTCTAGATAGTCAGCTCGCCAGGTTTTGAGACACAGCCATCACGGACACGGCTGTCCCGTCATTCCAGACTGTTAAATGACCTTTAATTCTTGGTTGGTGAAGGTTTAAAGTTGTTAACCCGCCAGCATTGACTAGCACGAGTGTTTGTGAGTGGTTATTGATCAGTGGTGTGGTGTCTGTCAGCTGGTGTCGGTGCCTTGACTTCCATGGTTGAGCACGTGAACACTGTCCTAACAGCATTTGTGTGCTTCTTTTGCTTAAAAATATCATTAGAGTCTTGGAAAGATGTCACCTTTACGGCCTCCTGAAATTGCATATCACGTTTAACACCCACTCGTTTGTTTAGTCATGGTTAGGTGGGAGAGCTTGTATCGTGTTGTTTTATGTGTACTTTATTTACAGACTTGGAAGCGGGTTCATTTTGGATGTGGCTAGAAATAGATGCAGCAGAACTCTATTAGTCCGGTCTGACGGTTGACTTCACTATAATTACTCTGTCCTGAGGAGGGTGGTTGAGGATCTTGTCTTTATTTTTGGCTGAGATAAAACAATGCCCTTTAATTATAGCGGCAGTGTATTCACGCCTAGAGACTCTAGAGAAGTTTAAACCATTCTGCTTTAAAGGTGCACAATGTGACTTTAGTGCTAATTAATTTTTACACAAAGAAATGAGTTATACTTTTGTTAAATGTCATTCAAATGACTTACATTTACATGAGATAAGGACAGTTTTCTAGAAACATTTCTTTTATTCTACATGGAGTTGGGCCGCCATGTTGAGGTCACATGACCAGTTGTTACTACAACTTCTTTCTTTCTTACAGCATATTTTATCTGGTCTGGTAATATTGTTTTTTTAAGTAATCTTTACTTGTTTATTCACTGTATATACATACATGCACTATGGTTCTTATCATAATACATGTAACTCTGACTGGTTATGTGACCTGAACATAGCAACATCCATGATGATGGTGACCCAGTCCATGTATGTTAAAACAGTTTAACAACTAGTTTTTAGCTGAGTGCACCTTGAAAACAATAATCTCCTCTACTCACAGCCAACCACAATGCTGTCATTATTAACAAGACATTCCTGTTCTGTCTGTTTTCTTTTGTGATATTAGCAATGGCCCAAGAGACAAACCAGAGTCCTGTGCCTATATTGTGTACCACAGGCTGTGGTTTCTATGGCAACCCCAGGACCAATGGCATGTGCTCGGTGTGCTATAAGGAGCACCTGAACAGACAGCAAAGCAGTGATCGTAGTCCCATGAGCCCCCTGGGTAAGTCACACTGAAACATTAACCTGTTTGTCTAACCTCCTGGAAAGCTCTCTCTATGGTTACAGACTACACAAACAACTTGGTTATACTAGGGTATAAGGGCTCTCATTCATTGCACCTCTTGGAGACGATGACATTAAAGTTGTTACAGCAATAACAGGCCCCCATATTACTGCTTGTAAGACATTTCAGACCCACCTGCACCCAGTGATAGCTGAGTTGTTTTTGAGTTCCATATTTTTCTTGAGGTCTCTAGCTCTATGTTGGGACGTCCCTGAGAAACAGTAATAAGCTGCACTTGTTTTGTATTAGGCAGCACTGCTTTGTGTCACAGGCCTTTTGTATACTGTAGCACAGCTGCACCTGTGCACTGTTTGTGATTTGTGTCTTTGTGTTCTGTTGGACCAGCTGGCAGCCCCTCAGCAGAGGCCTGTGCTATACAGAGACTAGAAGCCAGCATAAACAAAGCAGAGGCCTCACCTGCACCCAGAACAGATACCATGAGAGAGTGAGTACTTCACATGTGTGTTTGTTGTTAAACCTCAGATTGAGAAAGGATGCATTTTATGATCAGCTGCTTGACATTTCAATGATCTCATGTGTTTCAAGAAAAGCCAGGTGCTGCAACCCCACTGTTTTTGTTGTTGTTTTTTTGCAGAAGTATTCCTTCAACCTCCTTACCGGTGACACAACAGATGACAGAAATGAGTATTTCTAGAGAGGAAAAAGCTCTGTCTCCTAAAACTGAGGCTATTGAACCAGGTAATTGCACTTAAAAATGATCAAATATATTTTGAAGTAGACATACAAAGCTCCTTGTTTAGTCTAACACTGGGTGTTTCAAACTTACAAGTCGACAAAATGGACTCACTTTCTGAAATATAAAGTATTTATACTTAATATAAAAAAAATATTAAGTGTGATTTCTTGCAAAGACAACTTACTGAATTAAATAATTGTTTCTAAAAATAAATTAAAAAAGAAATATAACTGTCTTTTACATTGTCATTGTTGCAAAATATATTCTAGAAAATATTAGCTTTTTATAAAGTTTAATCTGAGATTTGATCTTTTTTTTCTTCCACAAAACTATATGTAGATTCATACTGTTAAAATGTGTGCTGTCATTGGGAAAAAAATGATTGTATTTGATCTCATGATTTCTCACCAGTATTTAGAAAGCAGAATGAAATGTTAAACGTATTAAAATTGGTAAATGTAGATAATTATGCTAAACATTTCATTCATATCACAACCAGGGCTTGACATTAACACCTCCCAAAAGCAGGTGGATTTCGATTTTATATATAATGTATACATTTTTCAATTGTAGTCTTTTAAAGGGGCATCTGAAATAACTAAGTGCAATGTAGTGTCAAAAATATACATTTTTTGATATATCAAATCTTAAACTCTCCCAATACTTATTTTCTGCAGAATAGATACACGATACCAGCTGTGCTTTCTCGCTCTCTCATCTCCCTGACAGCGAGTTGATGCACAAACCCGCCTCCTCGCACTCACCCGTTCTTTTGCTCCTAATGAATATTGGTGGTGTTACAAGGCTTGAATTTAAACTTAAACTTTTTAAAATCACTAGCCACAGTGGCTGGTGAGCAAAAAAGTTAATGCCAAGCCCTGATCACAACCCTTAAAATAATGTTTAAACAAATTGTGCACCGGGGGGAATTTATAATGTCTGTATTGGGATTTTTCAACAAAAAAAAGTCTGACGAATGTTGGTAGACCGAAACGGTGCTATCTAAATATATTTTCACATTTTTGCAGCTGGAGCAGTGAGCAAGATGACTTTTATTGGTTTTATCACTTATCACCATTCCTGCAACCATTCAGGTGTTGCAAGGTGTGTTTATTTATAAGACTCTATTTACAATGTCAATGTCAATCGAAGTACTGAAGTGAAGTTTGTGGTAGTTGGGCCTTCAGACAGTAAGCTCTATTTTGTCAGTTCCTCTTTTTACTAAAATGGACTTCGCTGCTATAAATTCAACTTCCAACATGTCTTCAGAAGTATTTTGACATCGTACACTAATTGTCAGCCCAGACCCAAGAACAAACAGAGCCATCTTTGGGTCTGCTCCAGTTTTAATGCGAGTTCATGCAGTGTTAATAACTTCATTCTGACAGAAATTGGGACTTTGGGGTTTGTGGCAGAGCTTATTTTAAGGAACAGCCCTATAAAATTGTGACCGTACTTCTTTGCCCTTTAAACCCTAGAAACTGCTTCCAGAATCCACCCATGCCACATTGCAACTGTTTTATTTAACAATCCTTCTTGTCTCTATTCTTCCCACAGTTATAACACAGCCCACCTCCTCCTACTCCCCTATCGCTGTGGCTCAGGGAAGCGACGAGGACAAGATCCCAGACTCCATCAAACCTAAGAAAAATAGATGCTTTACCTGCCGTAAGAGAGTCGGCCTAACAGGTGAGGCTCATGGATTGGTCATTCTGTTATTAGTTTGACAGTCATACTATGAATGGAGGTCTTATGTTTTCTCTTGTTTTACAGGTTTTGGCTGTCGATGTGGTAATCTGTTCTGTGGAATTCACCGGTACTCTGACAAGCACAACTGCACGTACGATTACAAGGCAGAAGCCGCTGCTAAGATCCGTAAGGAGAATCCAGTTGTAGTTGCCGATAAGATCCAGAGAATATAAGCTTTTCCCTCTTTCTTCAAGAACACTGGTGGATAAAATGGACGACTTGAAAAACGGACTTGTGTTTTTCGATCACCTCAAGAAGAAAACGAGAGAACTGTACCGTCTGAGGCTCGTGCATGAACGGTCTGACAGGTTTTGGTTTTCTAATAGGTATTAATTTCTTTCCGTTTTTTTTCCCCTCTCTGTGGTGTTTTATGCTAGTTATTGCAAATTATTTTTTTCCCCCTAAAACATAGGACACCTTTCAGGACATTTTAGCTGTTTTTTTTGTTTTGTTTTGTTTTTTTGCTTGTTCCTGTCCTCATGCAATGGGAGTGGCAGATACTCTGTGCCAAAACGTGGCCGTGTAGTTTCTGAGTAAGTAGTGTTGTTTAGCCTTTTGTCTTATCATGAAAGACGCTGGATTTTCAAGAGATGTCAAAGCTCTACCTGATGGTGTGCGCTGCATGTGTTGGTCTGTTAAACTGCAGTTTGTCATTCTAACAAAATCACTTGGAATGTGGGGCCGCCCAGTTGTCAAGGCCATTTTTTAGCATTATTTTAGAATGTGAACTTGCTACTGTGACATCATACCTTTTCTTTGTTTTAGAATGAAAGATTGAGATTCATCTGTTGTAGGCAACTCTGTTCCCACATTCTAGAACCAATAACCTCCAATCTGTCACAACTGCGCTTTAGAGTTTCAGTGGTCTGGGAGTTTTAATTTTGTTAATTTTGTGTGAACATTACGTAGACTTTTTAATAAGACTGTGAGGCGGTGCAGTCGGTTTCTGTGTGAGCGTATTTGTGCGCACGGGGGGGAATTTTGCGCACAAGCCCTTCTTCCTGTTGTCAAATCGAGATGAGCTGACCCTCCTTAGTGCATTTGCAACACCGCAATAGTATACGCATAAAGTCAGACCTGAGTCTGTGAAACATTGTTCTTTTTATTGGTTTTGAAATGCACCCACAATGCACCTGTCATTTTTGTGTGTCTGCATATCTTAATGTAAGCGAGTCCGAGTGCATATGTTGTGTATAATAACGTCTTTTCTTCTTTAGGGAGTGAGGTTTCCTTAAAAAAAAGATGTCTGTTGAGAGTATGTTGAATTTCAGCCTTTAGTTATATGCAAATTTGTATGAAAAAAAAAACATTACTATGTTCATATTTATGTATTGCATTTAATACTTTTACCTGGCATTAAAAAAGTATTGTAAATAAAAATATACAGAGAGAAAATATACAGTCAAGCTGTTCTGTTCATTTGTTGTATTTTGGGGAAAATTCAGAGAGTCATTTTTAGGCATTCTTTTACACTGAATAAAATGCTTCTTATTTGATAGCAGAGGGCCCAAACTGTGATTCCTTGACACCTGTATGGTTTTTTTAGATGTCGTTTTGCACACCTGTCCCGGCTGCTGACGCAAAGACGTCCTGTTTTGACGACAGCTGTCCTGACAACCTTTAGCACTTCTGTACTCGCAACCAAAGCAGATTTGACAATCCGTGCCTGACCTAGTAACAGCTGGAGAGGTGTGTGTCACTTTTAAGGAATGACAACAGGTGGTGTGGACCCTAAGTGTCAGCCTCATTCAAAAATCGCAGGATATACTTTTCCTTTTTTTGTTTTCAAAGTACATATCTGTCCCTTAAAAGAAAATGTTTTTGTATCATTGTCTGACACAGTCCAGTCAGTTTGTGTTCTTGTCAGACTCTGACTAGTCAGCGTCTGTGGCCCGCGCTCTGTAGTCTGTATTTGTACAGAGGGGGCTGAGCGTTAAGCCGGTCTGGGTGGATGACTTCACAGTGACGGGTGGTGACAGATGTTAAGGGCAGATGACTACGCCACTGTGTCGACGGGCGTCAGGGGGAGGGGCACACCGAGGGTACAAAGAGTTATTCTGAGTGTATATTAAGGCAAAGTCGAACTGGAAAGTGAGATGATTAGGAAAAACAGTGCGGCTTAGAACTTTGTATCACGGGCAAAAATAAATGTGGCTAAATTAAAAGTAGGATGTAGGAATAGTTTAGCAGGGGAGTAGATGGGTTCTCACACATGTTCTTCTCACGTTAATCCTTTTGCAAGTCAGAGGATGTAAATTGGCTTCACAGTCATGAGTTTGGTTGAGGAGAAGAGGGAGGCAGAGGAGCTTAAAGAAAGAGTTTCGTATGAAAACTAATTACGAAGCTTGTGCTGGAAGGGGTGAAATCAAAATGGGCATTTTGGTCATTACGAGAAAAAAAATTAAGAGAGGACAAAAGAGTGGAGAAGGGAAGGAAATTGGAATACATTGACCATTATTCAATAAAATGTAATATATATATATACATATATATATATTTACACACTATATATATATATATATGTATGTGTATGTATATATATATATATATATATAGATGCAATCAAAATTATTCAACACCCATTGCAAATCAGGTTTATTGGCAAAATTTACAGACTTTCAGCTGTTTGCAATAAACATATCAAACAAAAGTCATTGAAATAGCTCAACACAACAAATGTTCCCCAAATTAACTGAAAATGCAACTTTTAATGACTTCTGCAGTTTCAAAATTATTCAACACAGCACAAATCTGCAGAAAGGTGTTGTCTCAGCACACCTGAAGCAACTAATCAAGGGCTTCATTAGTTTCACCAGGTGTGCTTGAGCTAAAACACATGAAATATCTGAACTGGCTAGGTTTGTAGAGTTTCACGTTTGACTGCAAGTTAGAAATATGGCTAAGGCAAAAGAATGGTCCAAAAAGTTAAGAGAAGGTATCATCGCCCTCCACAAGCAAGGAACAAGATGCAAAAAAGATAGCGAAGGCATTAAATGTTCCTAGATACACAATTGGAAGCATAGTTTGCAAGTTCAAAGTTAAAGTAACTGGTTACACTATACGCTGATTTCACGCAGCTGCCATTTTGAAATGGCTCCGGTGGGAAGAAAACCGGAAGTGCCGCCTTTAATCATAGGAGAGTCGCGAATGCGATGGAGTATTGTTGTGTTTAATGTAGAAATTAGTTATTCAAAAAATGTACATACATTTTTTCATATTTTAGACTATATACAGTGAAATTCATTTATAAATAAAATATTTTTTTTATATATAATTCAGAACGTAAAAAAAGAAGCAGGAACGAACTATATACATATCCTATATTGGATATTAACATCCAATAGTGTAAATCGCGGCAGCAGCTTCAGGTTGGTAGTCCAAGGCACTGTTGTCTATCTGTACTTCCGTTCCGGGGTTCTTCCCACCGGAGCCTCGCTTTCGATTTCAAAATGGCGGCTGCGTGAAATCAGCGTATTGGATGGGGCAGATCAATGGCTGCAACCAGATTTCTGAGAAGACAGGTTCAGAAAAACCCTCGAGTGACTGATAAGACATGCAGCAAGACTTGGTGGCAACAGACACTGAGGTTTCAGCTTGCACAGTTAGACGCGTACTAAACCCATGCCATAACTCCAAGACGTCCACCACTACTGACCCAAAAGTACAAGAAAAGTCGGCTCCTATTTGCTCAAAATCATTTTAATAAGCCACATAAGTTTTGGGATTCTGTTCTTTGGAGCGAAGAAACAAAACTTTTCGGCCCTCTGGATCAGCGATAATTGTCTGGAGGAAGAAGAATGAAGCATATGCTGAAATGAGCACTCTGCCTACAGTTAAGCATGGTGGTGGTTTGGTGATGCTCTGGGGCTGCTATGCATCCTCTGCCACTGGAAACCTGTAGCGTGTGGAAAGCAAGATGGATTTATTGAAGTATCAGGAAATCCTAGGAGAAAACGTCATGCTGTCAGGGAGGAAGCTGAAGCTTGGGTGTCATTGGACCTTCCAACAGGACAATGAAGCATACCTCAAATTCCACCAAGGGTTAGGTTGCAGAAGAAGTCCTGGAAGATTCTACAGTGGCCATCCATCACTCACCTGACTCGAACCATTTTGAGACTGCAGAAGTCATTAAAAGTTGCATTTTTAAGGAAACCACTTGAAATATTTGTTGTGTTGAGCTATTTTAATTACTTTTTTTTGATTTGTTCATTGCAAACAGCTGAAAGTCTGTAAATTCTGTAAAGTCTGGAAATCAGATTATGAAATAGATGTTTTTCTCCAAAACACGTTGGCCACAATTATTGGCACCCTTTTATTAAACACTTTTTTGCAATCTCCTTTTGTCAAGATAACAGCTCTGAGCTTTCTCCTATAATGCCCGATGAGTTTGGAGAACACCTGACAAGAGATCAGAGACCATTCCTCCATACAGAATCTCTCCAGATCCTTCAGATTCCCAGATCCATGTTGGTGCTTCTTCTCTCCAGTTCACTCATCAGGTCAGGGAACTGGGACGGTCATGGCAGAAGCTTCATTTTGTGCTCCATAACAAATTTTTGTGTTGATTTTGATGTTTGTTTTGGATCATTGTCCTGATGGAAGATTGTAGGGAATCTCGGGATTAGCTCTTACAGGGAATATAGTTTTAATAACTATGAAACATGATCGGGAGTCACCTACAAATTATAAAATTACCCCCTAAAGGGAAAAGTTACCAACGCCCTGTTTGGACAGCCGAACACAACGAATTATGATCGGTTCTCCATCCAGGTCGGCGAAAATAGATCAATTGTATATAAATACTTAATCAAAACGGGTTATAATTAAATATTAATATATCAATTATGTCTATCATATATCAACTCTAAGGATACCCCTGATGGAATTAATTCAGTATCGGATGATCTGTTGTCCAGAAAACTGATCACGCGTTCTTTATCAACTCGTACAGAATTATCCTACTTTATAGACTTTCACGAAAAGCTATTCCTCTGGCCACGAGGATTAACTTTCCTGTTCTATAACAATACCTTTTTAACAAATGTATCAATACATTTGTAAAGCACGTAGCTTTGGATCGTACATTAAAGGGACTTGTATATGAGCGACACAGACAGTCAACCAAATGAATAATGTATTTAATAAAGGAGTACACTACGTATACGGTTACTAACGTTACAGGAATAAAATGTATATACAACAAATAACAACGGACAAAACAAGATACTGAAAGAATCTGACAGTGAAAGAAACAGGGAGAGAGTGAGAGAGAGAGGGAGATCCGTAAGGATCACAGAATGGCAAAATTCACCTGGACATTTAACCTTTGAGAGACAATACGGAAAAACACAATCTTAATGCTCTGAAAGCTCGATAACACGGCTATACTTGCATGGTTCTTATGTTGCTGAAGACGGCTGCATGAGTGAGTCTTGTGTGATCCGTTGGAGCATCACGTGGTTTGCAGCTGTTCCGGAGCGCGCAATTTCAAAGAAGGCTTAAAGGTCTTTGACGTAAATTACCGAAGAAACAATTCAGGCTGAGTTCATTTACTCGTCTGGGGAAATGAACAAAGGGAAAAACAAAACTTAAACAAACAAACAAAAGAAAAGATCCCCTGGGAGGAGATCATGAGGAAAAAGGAGTAACATGATGGAGCCACGCGGAGAGGGAGGAAGAGAGCTAAGAGAGATTGTGGATGCAATTTATAACCTGAGGAAAGTCCAGCCTCTCAGTGTTGGCTCGGCCAATAAGAAGGGTGGAAATCCCAGGCGGGAATTTGGTTTATTGCTCTTTGTTCTAAGGGTGCTCGTTGCGTGTGCATGTTTTATGACAAGTCATGACGCGGATCATTTCTACTCTCAAGAATGGAAAGAATGGAATGTATAGTGTAATACATTGTATCATAACCTAAAATGCATTTTTGACTGGAGGAGGCCGCGAGGATTCCAATGATACCAAACAACAACATGAAAAGCATAGGAATTACAAAGATACAGCTTACTGCATAATTACACATACTTATGGTTCATTTAATACTACGATAAAATCACAGATATCCCACTATGATGTGGGTGAGCAGGTCCACTTAAAAACATATCAAATATATCTCGGTAAAGTCTTTATATGAGGAGGTTAATGAAAGGTTCATGTGTGTGCGTTTTGGAGTGAGCTTTCTGGACGCCTGGCCTGGCTCTGAGATACTAATCTCTTTGAGGCTCGACCCCTGGCTGTGTGTGTGTGTGTGTGTGTGTGTGTGTGTGTGTGTGTGTGTGTGTGTGTGTGTGTGTGTGTGTTTCTTTGTTTTAACTCACGTTCGCAATGAAAGTCTCAATGAACGCCATTAGGAACAGACTCTGTGGTGCCAGGCCTGAGTTACGGATAGGAGTCAAATGTT